GCGCCATGGCTGCTCCTGAGTGGGCATGGTGCCTGCAGCCTGGCCCAGGCCCTGGGGTCGCAGCCTCCGCCCATGGCTTCTGCAGGGCTGGACTGCCACTCCTCCTGCTATAATGCTTAGGCAGATCCCGGACCCTTCCATGACTGGGGGCTCTCTGCCAGGGCTTGGCCCCCTGATCGAACTCCCCAGCTCAGCCCTGACAGAGGAGCTGAAATACGCTGACATCCACAACATTGGGGCCATAATCACCCCCTTGCACTTCCTGGAGGTGAAACTGGGCAAGAGGCCTCAACCTGTGAAAAGTGAGCTAGATGAGGAAGAGGAGCGGAGGAAAAGGCGCCGGGAAAAGAACAAAGTGGTGGCAGCCTGAGGCCGGAACAAGAAGAAGGAGCAGTCGGAGTTTCTGCAGGGGAATCTGAGTGGCTAGAGCTCATGAATGCAGAGCTGAAAACCCAGATGGAGGAGCTGAAGCAGGAGTGGCAGCAGCTCATCCTGATGCTCAACTGGCATTGCCCCACCTGCATCATCAGGACAAACAGTGTTAAGACCCCGGACTCAGAAGGCAACCCACTGCTGGAGCAGCTGGAGAAGAAGTGACCATGGGCTTTGAGGAGAAAGAGGAGGAGGAGGAGGGTTCCAGAGGGCTCTTCCTTGATGCATGAAAAACTCTTCAATGAGGCTCAGCACAGCCAGCATTGGCCAGGCTTTTTTGTGAAACTCAGATCAGCCACACCAGGGGAAGAAACCCAGGCTGATGAAACCCAGGACCAAGTGCTGAGACCAAAGTAGTCCTGAGGGTGGCCTGTTCTGCCTGGGGCCAGGCTTGCAGGAGGCAGGACAGAGGCTCTGGGCCAGAGAGATGCCCAACCAGGCAGCTGTGGGCACTTCTCCGGCCTCTCCGCCAGGGCACCCACCCAAAGGACCTCCGAGCAGCCAGGAAAAGCCATGAATTGCAACTAAAATTAAGCTGAGTATGGAACTCAGAGTGAAACTGCAATTTGCCTGCCCCCAGCCCTGACCCTGACCCTGACTCTGATCCTGATGCAAGGCTGGAGAAGGGCACAGTGCCAGGCCCTGCTGTACCCACCCACTTGGTCCAGCTCAGTCCTGGCTGGAGTGGCAGCAGGGGTGCACCCTCGCCGGCACTGCTGGAGTTGCTGTGGGCACGAGGCACGGGCACCCTGACAAAGCACATACTCACTGAATGTTTACAGACTGGCTGTCCTGGCAGGGCTTTCAACTGCACATGTTTTTTATGCTTTCTTTTTTTAAAATATATTTTTTACAAAAAAAAGATTTAAAAAAATATATTTTATTGATTTTTTACAGAGAGGAAGGGAAAGGGATAGAGAGTTAGAAACATCTATGAGAGAGAAACATCGATCAGCTGCCTCCTGCACACCCCCCACTGGGGATGTGCCCGCAACCAAGGCACATGCCCCTAGCCGGAATCGAACCTGGGACCCTTGAGTCTGCAGGCTGACGCTCCATCCACTGAGCCAAAGCGGTTAGGGCCAAAAAAAAGATTTTATACAAGCAATATATAAATGGATTTCTATAATCACTTGGTGTGATACAGTATAAATACGCTATGGTTTGTTTGTGACAAACAGATATTCAGCAGTTATGGCCATTGCGTGTAACTTCTAAGTACTGTAGTCTCTGGGTGTTGGGGGTGGCAGGGGTGGGGGTATGGTGCATTTACACCCTGGTAAACCCTTCATAGTACTCAGTTCTGTATCGCTCAGTAAACATTACTCTTACTTAAAAAAAAAGAAAGAAAGAGGGAGGCCCAGGCTACCCAGTGGTGCTGCAGCAGGTGGGTGGGGCCTCCCCCTGGGGGGTGATCAATCTGGGGGCCCTGCCATCGATCACCCCACAGAGGGAGGCCCAGGTCACAGGCCAGCAACGCTGTGCGAGTGTGCGGGGCTGGCCAGCGATTACCCTGCAGAGGGAGGCCCAGACCAGCCAAGCGATTGCACCCCACGCCTGTCACCCCACAGAGGGAGGCCACTGGTGTCAGGGGAGGTGAGGGCAGCGCTGCACAGATGGCAAGCAGTGGCAGCAGCGGGGGCGGGGCCAGCTGCCAGCAGCCGGGGGAAGAAAAGCCCCATAGGCCCTGATCTCAGGCCAGGCCTAGGGACCCTACCCGAGGGGTCCGTGATTGTGAGAGGGTGCAGGCCAGTCTGAGAACCCCCCCTGCCCCCATGAGTGCATGAATTTTTGTGCACCGGGCCTCTAGTTTCATATAAATGGAATCATATAACATATAAACTTTTGTATTTGGCTTCTTTAATTTAGTATCTGTTTAAAGTTCATTCATGTTGTAGTTTGTATCTGTATTTTACACTTTTTTGTTGGTATTTATGGATATACTGATATACCACATTTTGTTTTTCCCTTCACCAGCTGATCAGTATTTGGGCTTGCTCCACTTTTTGACTATTAGGAGTAATGCTGATATAAACATTACTGTGCGAATCTTTGTGTGAACATGTATTTTATTACTTTTGAATAGATATGTAGGAATGGAATTGCTGGTTCATATAGAAAATTTATATTCAACCTTCTAAGAAACTGAAAAGCTATTCTGAAGTGGCTGTACTTTTCCACATTCCCATCAGCAATGTGTGAGAATTCCTATTTCTTAACATTTTTGCCACTTGTTATTGTCTGTCTTTCTGATAATAACCATCCTGGTGGCTATGAAGTGGTAACTTGGTGGTTTTAATTTGCATTTCTCTAATGACTAATGATGTTAAGCATCTTTTCATGTGCTTATAAGCCACTTATACATTATTTTGAGATATATCTATCAATTTCTTTTGCCCATTAAAAAATTGGATTTTCTTGCCTTGGTTGATTTGGCTCAGTGGATACAGCGTCGGCCTGTGGACTGAAGGGTCCCGAGTTTGATTCCAGTCAAGGGCAGCAGACTCAATCCCTGACCCTGATCAGGGCATGTGTGGGAGACAACCAACTGATGTGTCTCTCTTACATCGATGTTTCTCTCTCTCTCCCCCCCCCTTCCACTCTCTCTAAAAATCAATGGAAAAATATTCTCAGGTGAGGATTAACAACAACAAAAAATTGGATTGTCTTCTTATTGAGTTGTGAGAATTCTTTGTATATCCTAGATACATTTTTTGCCATATATGTGATTTATAAATATTTTCTCCAGTCTGTGGGCTGTCTTTTCAGTTTCTTAATGATTCCTTTTGAGTGCAAAGTTGTTTCTAAGAAAATTTTAATTTTGAAATAAAGTTTCACAGGATGTTGCAAAGATAGTATAGAGAGGTACTATGTACACTTAACCCAGTTGCACTCCCAAATTTTGAATTTTTATTAAGTCCATTTATCAGTTTTTTCTTTTATAGATCATACTTCCTGGTAGGGTCTTAAAAATTTTTGCCTAATCCAAGGTCTTAATTTCTCCTGTCTTATTCTAAGGTTTTATAGCTTTAGCTTACATTACTGTCACTGACCCATTTTTAATTAATTTTTGTATAGTGTGAGATAAGGGTCTACATTCATTCTTTTGGAATATGGATGTCCAGTTGACCCAGGACCATTTGTTAAAAATTCTCCTTTCCATCAAGCTGTCCTTGTAAAAAATCAACTGGCCATAAATATAAGGATTTATTACTAAACTTTCAAATCTGTTCCATTGATCTATGTTTATTCTTATGTCAGTACCAAACAGTTCTGATAACTTATATTAAGTTTTAAGATTAGGAAATGGAAGTTTACCAAGTTTGTTTTTAAAAAATTTTTTTGGCTAGTCTGTCTTTTTGATTTCCATGTACATTTTAGGTACAGCTTGTCAATTATTTCTGCAGAAAATCCTGCTGGAATTTTGATGGAGATTGAGTTGAATCTATTGGTCAATTTGGGGAGAATTGTCATCTTAACAATATTGAGTCTTCCAATCAGTGAATGTGGTGTCTCTTCATTTATTTAAATCATACTTAATTTCTCTCAGAAATGTTTTTAAAACTTTATTGTACAAATCTTGTACTTCTTTTACTAAATTTATTTTTATATATCTTTTTAGCACTATTGTGAATGGAATTGTTTTATATTTATTTTCAGGTTGTTCATTCTCATATATAGAAATACAATTTATTTCCATATATTAATCTTGTATTCTGCAACCCTGCTGACCTTGTTTAATTTTTTTAGAATACATTTTATTGATTTTTTTTACAGAGGAAGGGAGAAGGATAGAGAGTTAGAAACATTGATGAGAGATAAACATAGATCAGCCACCTCCTGCACACCCCCAACTGGGGATGTGCCCGCAACCAAGGTACATGACCTTGACTGGAATCGAACCGGGGACCCTTCAGTCCACAGGCTGATGCTCCATTCACTGAGCTAAACCGGTTAGGGCCCTTGTTTAATTTTAATAGGGGTTTGTCTGCATGCACACGTGTATTCTGATCTTCTACATACAGAATCATGTTGTCTTCAAATAAAGACAATTTTACTTCTTCCTTTCTAATCTAGATGCCTTTTCTTTTTCTTGTGATTGTCAATCACTAGAACCTCCAGTACACTGAGTAGAAGAGCTGATATTCTTGCATTATTTTTCCACCATTAAATATGATGTTAGTGGTAGGGTTTTCACAGATGCCCTTTATCAGAAAGTTCTCTTCTCTTTCATGTTTGTTGACAATTTTTATTATGAATTGGCTTTTGTCAAATGCTTTCCTGCATCTATTGAGATGATTGTGTGGTTTTTACCCTTTATTAATATGATATATTACATTAATTGATTTAGGAATATTAAAGCATTTGCATTCCTGGGTTGAATGCCACTTGCTCAGTGTGTATAATCCTTTTTCTATGTTGCAGGATTTGACTTTTAAAAGTATTCTGACTTTGGAGGAAATGAGAAATTAGTCAACTGAAGTGGTCTCTTTATAAAATTTTGATGGTTTTAATGATATTCTTAATAATTAGAAAATTCAAATATCAGTATCTTTCATCATAACCCAAAAGATTCAAAACACTTTTATTGAGTATAATCTATGTTCCAATGTCAACAATGTAGAATATGTTTTCAAACTATGCATCTTTTTACATTATACAAATGATTTATTCATCTGCATAAAAGGGCGTCAATTCAATTTTGTGAAAGCTTACTATTCATTTCTTAATGGTATCTTTTGAGATCATTATTCATTTTATTTCATCATTACAATTACAGACTCAAACTTAACTTTTCTGGAAGACAAAACTCAGAAAGTTCAAACTATGAAATTTTAATATTTAGCTCTTTGTAGTCAATAGTGAACATTACAGAGTCATCCCAATCTATGTCCCTTTTTTTCAAAATGAGTTTAAAAAGATCCTCCTCCTTTTTACAAGCTAGAAAATATCCTTCATACAATGAAGACTCAAATTTCATCTTATTGTTAGATCCTGGAACACTTCTCATAAAGAATATGATGTCACTTTTTTCATCATTGATATCAGCAGGAGGACTCATTTTCTATAGAGAAAAAAATATTAATTTTTTAGGGCACGAATAATCAGAATATGTGCAGTTTATTTTGAAGTATATTATTGCACAGAACTAAAGAAGTTTTTATTTTCACAAGTTAAGATTAAAAACAAATCTCAGCATATAGGAACACTGATCTCCTCTTCCTCTGAATTCTAGTTTCCTATTCTCCTTGTCCATTTTGGCTGTTCCCACCATGGAATGCACATTCAGGTCTAGCTCTCTAGTTTTTCCCAATTTATTAATCATATAGCTTTCTTCTCTTTCTCCCATTGCTCAAGATGGAGTTGATTTCTAGCAAAGACCAACACCTTTTATGGGCTAATGTCATTTCCTGTCTTTTCCAACCATTCAGAGCTAAAGACATTGATGACCTCCAGCCATAGCCTAGCCTAGCCTAGCTCTAGTTCAGTGGTTCTCAACCTTGGCTGCACATTAGAATCACCTGGGAATCTTTTTAAAATCCTGATTTCTGGGCCTCATCTCCTACTTTCTTTTTGTTAAAAAATATATTTTATTGGTTTATTTTATTTTATTTACTTTTAATTTTTAAAATATATCTTTATTGATTTCAGAGAGGAAGAGAGATGGAGAGATAGAAATGTCAATGATGGGAGAGAATCACTGATTGGCTGCTTCCTGCACACCCCTACTGGGGATTGAGCCCGAAACCCAGGCATGTGCCTTTGACCTTGACCAGAACCAAACCTGGGATCCTTCAGGCTGCAGGCCAATGCTCTATCCCCTGAGCTAAACCAGCTAGGTCTGGTTTGTTGACCATACCTACTTTTTAAGATGAACTAGAAATTTTGAGGACCACCTAAGGTTCTTTCCATGTTAATCCCAGAACTGTAGATATTTGAACTTAATTTTAACCCCATGGAAACAAAAATTCTCATGATCCTAACTAAGGACTGACAGAGAAAGCTCCAGACCCAAAATAACATTCCAGCATCTTTCTAAGATGTCCGAAAGAAGTTTGGTTACCTCCCAACTTTTCAACCAATTACGGAATTTATAGTCATAACTCTTAACTTTGTCCTTTATCAATAAGAGGGGGTCCTAAATTGTTGACAGTTTAAACCAGTTCTCCCACTGACATATATTTCTGTAGCTGACTACAGTACCCCAGAATTTAGGAAGAGACCTTAAAATGAGGAATGAATTTGGGACTAAGCTACTCTAATGTATAAGTGAGAAATAATCCTTAGCCAAAACTTCAAAAGCTCTAGAAATATTAGAAGGAGATGAACCTGTTAGTTCAAACCTGGCATGGAAAGTTGTGGTTGAAAGTGGGAGTATGGATAGGTAGAACAGGTGATCTCTAATCATAGTTCAATGTGACATTTCAGAACAGGGGCAAGGAAATCCTTGGGCAGTAGCTCTCCTTGGTTTTGGTGTTGATTATTCATAGCCATCATAGGGAAGGTGCACAGTAAGTGGATATGGAAACAGCTCTACATAATGAAACTTGAGTGCTCCAAGGACCTATGGGATTGTTTACATCAGTAGGGGTTGAATCTAGACCCAGAGAAAGTTAAGCCTGAGCTAACATCTGTTTTTTTGGGTGTGTGTGTGTGTGTGTGTTTGCCCTTTCCCAAGTGCATTAGCACATTTGAGAGAATCCTGACTGCCCAAATGTCTATACAAGAAACAGGCACTAATAGTAACTTCTTGAACAAATCCCCCTTGGTGTCATGAAGGTTCTTACCCAAAGGCAGCAGGTATCCATAAGCACTAGGACTTTATAGCTAGTAACCAACACAGAAAGGTGAGCACATAATGGCAGCAAGTTGTGTCTAGTAGAACATAGTCTATATTTATAATCACTGCTAAGATCCTTTTTAGTGGGGGTAAAAGGGTTAAAGAGCATGAGCTAAAACTAACTTCCTTCCTTCCTTCCTTCCTTCCTTCCTTCCTTCCTTCCTTCCTTCCTTCCTTCCTCCTTCCTTCCTCCTTCCTCTCACCCTCTCTTTCTCCCTCCCTCTAACTAATATTTAATGAGTTCCTTTAGAAGCAGATTTGCTATGAAGCTTAAATGTCAGAGCCCTCCACTTGCACAGATCTCTTCTAAGGCCCCCTCTTTTCTTATTCTAAATAAACTCGATGCTTTTGGTAATTTTATATTCTCTTTCATTAAAAGGCCTGCCCAAATTGTATAAGTTTCAGGATCCCCTAAATCTGATTTGCTCCAATTCCTAGTGTATACCAAGCATCCTTCCTTTCCCTTCCCTTCCCTTCCCTTCCCTTCCCTTCCCTTCCCTTCCCTTCCCTTCCCTTCCCTTCCTTTCCCTTCCCTTCCCTTCCCTTCCCTTCTCTTCTCTTTTCTTTTGCCAAGCATTATTTCCACCCTTTTCAACACTCCCCAGTTTCTCTCAATAATAATCCACTTAGAGCTTAGGCTTATCCCAGTTTCTGAATCTGCTTCTGCAACTGAATTAGTTTTTCTTTACCCCACATAGCTTGAGCTTGGCCACCTCCCTCCTTCCCTTCTGATTTTGTTGCTAGATAACAACACGCTTAATCCTCTCCATCCACCTTGTCCATCCCAGGCCTCTAAAGCCATTATGATAACTAAGCTTCCTGCTTGTCAGGCCTGAGAATGGGAAGTCTAAATTGCCACCCAAAAGGGTGGCCCTCTGGTTGGAAGGGGATGGTTAAGGGATTTGTTTGGAGGTTGTATTTGTGGCATACACACTGATTTTACTTGGATTATATTTTAGAGTGGCTTTTTCCTTCCTTCCAAGTTGCCCCTCAACATGTCCACTAGGTCATATTCTAAACTTCAGTTCCCATTGCTCAAGTATTTTACTGGCAAACCCCCAATCAGAAACTCTTCAAGAGAAAAAAAAATGGAGAATAGAGAAAAAAAGCAGTGTCCAGAAATAATTTATACTTGGCTTTGAGATACATTATACCATTGCTTTCACAGCTAATCTTGTTAATTTTATTCACTTAGCTTTACATTAAAAATAACATATATCAACTGAAAGCTGAAGGATGCAGGAATAAAACAATTAGGTTTCTCACACCTGTCAGAATGGCTATCATCAACAAATCAACAAATGAAAAGTGCTGGCGAGGGTGTGGAGAAAAAGGAACCCTCCTGCACTGCTGGTGGGAATGCAGACAGGTGCAGCCACTGTGGGAAACAGTATGGAGTTTTCTCAAAAAATTAAAAATGGAACTCCAATTTGACCCAGTGATCTCACTGCTAGGAATATATCAGAAGAAATCAGAAACACCAATCAGAAAGGATATATGCACCCCTATGTTCATAGCAGCACAATTTATAATAGCAAAGATTTGGAAACAGCCTAAGTGCCCATCAACAGATGAATGGATTAGAAAACTGTGGTACATCTACATAATGGAACACTATGCTGCTGAAAAAAAGAAGGAACTCTTACCATTTGCATCAGCATGGATGGACCTGGAGAGCATATGCTAAGCAAAATAAGCCAGTCAGAGAAAGATAAATACCACATGATCTCACTCATTTGTGGAATATAATGAACAGAATAAACTGATGAACTAAAATAGATCCAGAGACATAGAAGCATCGAACAGATTGTTGAGCCTCAGCGGGAAGGCAGGGGAGGGTGGGAGAGGGGGCAAGAGATCAACCAAAGGACTTGTATGCATGCATATAAGCATAACCGATGGATACAGACGGTAGGGGGGCAGGGACATGTGCTGGGGGCGGGAGTGGGGGGAGCGGCTGGATAGAGGTCAATGGGGGGAAAAAGGAGACATATGTAATACTTTCAACAATAAGGAATTTAGAATAAAAAACAATTAGGATTAAAATATTATCATCATAATTCACAAAGTACATAGAAGGCTTACAGAAGGATAATTGGCTTCATTCCATTTAACAAGACATTTTGGAAAGTCATGCAATTCTCAAATAAATATAATAATTCATGTATGTCTTCTATATTATTATTTACCTTTAGATAGATTATTCAGAAGACCCAGGCTATGAAACAAGTGTTGTACCCCTTCCTCCCTATGGCAGACTTAGAAAAAGCATGATGGGTTAAAGAGTTGAACTATTTTAATGGTTCTCTGCTCCTGCCATTCTTGTTCTAGATAAAAAGTTGGACTGAGGATATTTAGGTTTTCTAAATTTCCATATATATATATAAATAAAATATAGGTTTACTCTTACCTTAAAGGAAATATTTTTGTTCATACAGGAGAGAGTAAACATTTCTGGACACTTCACAGAGAGGGTTACTGCCATGCCTCTAGGGTAGCTATCTTTATATGTATATATTATAATTTTAGTCTGGGATGCATTTTCTGAAATCAATATTAACAAATGAGAACACTAGTTAGAAGAATTTTTGCAAATCAATATTTATAGAAATTAGCCAAAGGATAATCCTTAATAGACCCATTACACATCCCATACACTGTGATTCAGCCAATTAGTGGAGATGATATGCAGTTGCTCACACATTCTTTAAAACACATTCAGCTGAACCGGTTTGGCTCAGTGGATAGAGCGTCGGCCTGCGGACTCAAGGGTCCCAGGTTCGATTCCGGTAAAGGGCATGTACCTTGGTTGCGGGCACATCCCCAGTGGGGGGTATGCAGAAGGCAGCTGATCGATGTTTCTCTCTCATCGATGTTTCTGACTCTCTATCCCTCTCCCTTCCTCTCTGTAAAAAATCAATAAAATATATTTAAAAAACACACACATTCAAATATGTATCACACACAAAAGCAGTAACATTTTGAGTGTTTAAGAGATATTCTGAATTCTGAAAGATTGTCTTCAACTTTTACTTTTCAAAAAATGTATTTTTATTGATTTCAGAGAAGAAGGGAGAGATAGAAACATCAATGATGAAGGGATTCATTGATCAGCTGCCTCCTGCACGCCCCCAACTGGAGGTCAAACCCACAACCTGGGCATATGCCATGACCAGAATCGAATGAAGACCTCCTGGTTCACAGGTCGACCCTAAACCACTGAGCCACGCCAGTAGGGCTGTCTTTAACTTTTAAATGCTAAATACAATATTAAAAATCTACCTGTTAAGGTAAAAATTCAGGATTTTTCAAGGGTGCACATTCACTGTTTCAACTCTGCCTAAACTTTGATATTTGGAATTTATACCTTGGAAAGCACAGTAAACTTATTCATTTCCTAAGCACTCTAAATTTCTGATGGGAGACAGACTTATTTGAAATGCTTGATATTTATTTTGAATTTTGAGTTTTGAAAATGCTATCAGCAATTTCAGCTATAGCCAGCAGGTATGAAGGATCCAACTCTATAGAAATCTTATACAGTTCATGCAGTTGCAATGAAGGAACTCATGATCCAAATGTAGGCCCAGAGTAACGTGACCCCTAGATATATCTTAAAAATTTTTAAATTAAATTTATTGGGGTAACATTGATTAATAACATTATATAAATTTCAGTTGTACAATTTTAGGGTTCAATGTCTGTATACTCTGCTGTGTGCCCACCACCGGAAACCTGGTTTTCCATCAGCACGTATTTGATCCCCTTTAACCTCTTCGTCCTCCTCCCAACCTCTGGCAATATCTTTATTGTATCAATTTTTCATCTCAACTACAATATTTGGATACTCTAGAAAGTTTCTTGTAAGTGAAATTATTACTATTGCTATTACTTTTCATTTAAGGACTAGGTCTATAATAGAAAAAAGTAGGCAGTAAAGGGGAATAAGAAGTAGCTTGTCATTTCTATGTTTGTAAATATATTTTAAAAATACCTTCACACTCAGAATCAGTCATATCTTCAAACACAGCGTGGCTTCCCTGGTAAACGAAGAGAACTTGATTGTTCACATTTCGTATGATTGACAATCTAGGTTCAATCCTGCCAAAGTAGTCTGATTCGAGGTTTTCTAGGATGGACATTAAATTGCATTAAAAATAAGTTTTTTTTCAAAATTTACAAACAAGCATACTATATATTTCAGTTTTCAATAGCTACTGATCACAATCTTCTGCTACAGAAGCAGCTAAGATAAAGTTGCACAATGTTTTTTAATCCATTTCCAAAGACAACGCTGCTTCTTCTTATCACCCAGAACTACTCTACCTCTGAAATGTTAAACTCAAACACTCTGCTTTCTGATCACAATCTCCTATCCTAGTTGTTCTATACTTTTCCTCCGCTTCACTGAGCCCTCCTGATTTTAAAATAGGCATTTCCTCTCTCCCTAACCTTCCTGTCTTCCTTTCATTTTCTATGCAGTCTGGACCTTATGGTTCATCATTTTGTCTACCCTTTGCCAGCCTTTCCAATCCCGAACTCATTTGTTCATTTGTCTTTCTACTACAAAACTCCAAACCTGACTGCTGAGTGTCACTGGTAATTATACAAATGCACAAACTGGTGCCATTGCAAGCATATAAATTGTCAGTACTTTTTTTTTTTTTAACAGTTCAGCACCCTCTTTCATAATCCATAGCTATCATTTCAGATCTTCCTTACCCTCCTCAGGATCTCGACATCATCATCTCTGCTTTCACTTTCAATAAATGATTTCCTGCTACTCCACTTACAAATTTAACTGTGGCACCGCCTGTCATTTCCTATCCCTCTTGTCCCAAGGAAAATGTAGAAAAGGTGCCCCTTCTGATATCTAAGGCTACCCCTATCTGTGCTCTGAGTATATTCTCCTGAAACCTTGATTTACCAATCATCCCCTCTTCTATATCAACCCAGCAACTCTATTTCCTTGGTTTTTTCCTAAAGAAACAATCAGAAAAATGTGTAAATATTTCTCTGCTATAATGCTTATGGGAGCACTGGATACAATTTATCAATTGGGGACTGAGCAAATAAATTTTGGAATATCATGAATTTAATATAACTGTAATTATTCTTTGCCATGGAAGGATGTCCATGTGTATTAAACTAGAAAAAGAAACTTAGGTATAGTATTACACACACACACACACACACACACACACACACGGGCAAAAGTAGGTTTATAGTTGAAATAATACAATAATACATAATAATATAATAATAAGATGTGCTGCACATGCTCACAACTGTAAACCTACTTTTACTCACATATATTTAAAGAAGTACAGAAATAACACACCAATGATATTATTAGTATTCCTAGGTTTTTTCATGTTTTTCTTTTTTAATTGCCTGAATCATTTATAATAAACACATTATTTTTATAATTAAAAAACCCACAAAACTCTTTTCATTTTGAGATTTAAAACTCCTCCATCAATCATATCCTATTCAGTAGCTAGCCTTGTTTCTTCTTTTAATAGTGGAGCTTCTGGTAAGAACTGTGTCATTCCCTTACTTTCCATTCACTCTTCTACTCATTGCAATCTCTCTCTGCCTCTATTTCTCCACCAAACTTCTTTCAGCGAGATCACCAAACTCCCTGTTGCTAAATGTAATAAATGCTTTCCTACCCTTGGTTTTCAAGGCTGTAAAATTCAACACAGTGACTGTTACCTCCATCTTGAAAATCTCTCCTGGGATTCTGTGGCATTCTCTTGGTTTTTCTTCTTCCTCTTTGGTTACTCTTTTGTTTATTAGGTTCCCTTTCTACTGCATCCTCAAACATAGGTATTCCCCTGACTTAGTCCTTGGCTTTTACTTTCTCACTTCACACATTTCCTCTGTTTTGTCTTTTTATTCCTATAGTTTCAGCTGTCATTTCTATGCATAAGCCTCCTATAGGTTTATCTCCAGCCCAAATTTTCATCCTGAGCCTAGAACTATTATGTCCAAGAATCTACTGGACATGTCCACTTGGATGTCCCACAGACAAGATACAAAACTAAATTCATCATCTCCTCTTTGCTCTGCATACCACTTTACCCTGCTCTTCCCCTTGTGCTTTCTATTTCACTAATAGTACAAATTTCCTAAGTGAGAAAATATAGGCACCATCTTTCTCTCTATCCCCTTCCTAGGCTAACCTCAAAATACTTGGATTCTTCCAAGTATTTATAAAATCCATTCATTGCTTTATATCGGCACCCTGTTATCCCTGCCTAATCCATGTCCCCATCATTTTTTACAAGGACAATAGCTTCTTAATTGTCATCCCCCCTTTTTTGTCCCCACACCAATCTATATATATAGAAGTCCAGTGACCAGAACGGTGGAACGACCAGTACAACTGGAATGACCGGTGGCTATGATGTGCACTGTGGCAGCCAACCAGCCTGATCCAGGCCCTGATCAGCCCCCGTTCCCCTGCCGGCCTGGCCCCTGATTGGCCCCCAACACCCCGATCAGGGGCAGGGCCAGCCAAATGCCCACGGCCCCTCCCCCCCATCCGCCCAACCCGATGGGGGCCCATACCACCTGTGTACAAATTCATGCACTGGGCCTCTAGCTCTTTATACTGAAGCCAGAAGGAATTTTGAATTTTAGATAAAATTATCTCTGAATTTTAATGAGGCACATGACCACTCAGAATAAAGTCAATGGAAAATGAGTAGAATTGATGTGTATGACTTCCATCTAGAACCTTTAAAAGGAATAGGCCATCTTCCTCTTATTTTGAACCCGTTCTTGCTAGCTGGGATATGGACCCAGGAAGTGTGGTGATGACTTTCAAGTATGTGAATGAATTAAACAACTAGGGCATAATGGAATAACAAGACAGAAACATCTTAAGATCCCAATAACATCAGGCTGCATCCTTAATCTTGAACTGCCTACTTGGACTTATTTTTGAGAGAAATATTTTCTATCTTATTCTATCACTATATTTTTGGACCTCTTTTTGCAGCAAACTAATCTCCATTCTAGATCATGCATATGTTGCTTAATGAATCCCCATTACCCAAAGATAAGGCCCAAATTCCATATCTTGAAATAAGAGAACCTTCTTGATCTGCATCCTATTTATCATTCTCTCATCATTCTCCTACTCCCATTCTGAAGTACTCTTGATTCCTTGTACGTGCTATGCTTTCTTTCATATCTAGGCCTTTCATGTGGTCTTCTCTATGCTCAGAATACTTTCCTTTGGCTAACTTCTATACCCTCTTAAAAAATGTCCCTCCTTCAAAGTGTCCTCCCAGAATCTATTGGACTGAAATAGGTGCCCTTTCTATACGTTCCCATAGCATCCTGTGCCTTAACATACCATATTCCAATTGCCTTCCTTAAGTGCCTGTTTCTCCCTATAGGAACTGTGATTTGCTTACCACTGTATCCTCGTGCCTAACAGTACCTGAGATACAGATGTCAACACAGGGTGGCAAAAGCAGATTTACAATCGAGAGTACTTGAAACAGAGTTTATTTTTGTGTTATTATTTATTAATTATTGTATTGTTTTCCATACGAACAACTGTAAACCTACTTTTACCCCCATATATATTGAATTAATAAATGGAGAGTAGGGCAATCTTTAAAAAACATGAGGAGTTACATGTCATTATATCTCAATGAAGCTGGAAAACAAAAAAAAACATGAAGGAATAGTATTTTTAAGTTACTTTTTTCACTTATAGTTCAGTAATGATCATCTTAAAAATGTGGAAAGTGCTATTTTTAAGGAAAAGTATGAGAAACTAATGACCTTTAACAATCTGGACATCTGTTAGAGGCTCACAGATCAGATAGGGTATGATCCTCTCTGAATGCCAGAAGGACAGGGCTGGATACATCCACTTCTTGCAAAGACTTAATGACTCCACCTCATAGTTCTTGCTTGCTCCCACCTTTCCCATCTCCTCTACTTTGAAAATATTTTTTCCCTGGGAGCCTCTCAGGCTTTTTCCCAAAGCATTTCTGAGAGAGAGAGGGTTGAAGAACAAAGATGTTATTGTTTTTGGACTACAATTTTCAGGCTTCAAATCTCCTTTCCCCATGTCCTCTAGAGAATCCATGACTTCCTGCTAATCTTACAATCTGTGTAGCAGGCAAAGTCTGTTTTGTAGATTTTAAGAATTGCCTAAAGTGTAAATAAGCAGTTTTGTTAGAGGTTTTCCTTTGTATCCTTTATGGACAGCTTTATTCCAAGGCTGTGCTACTGGGTCCACATTGCTTTGAGGGAAGATTAGCTTCTCAAATAGATTGGTACTAGTTTCTCTCAGCTAAGAATGGTGATATGGATGTGTCTGTGGGATGCTTAAGTAGCTATTTTTACTTTAGCAAAGAAAGAGAAATAAATTTATACTTTACCATCATTTTCACCTAAAGGGGAAAAAAGAGAAACAAAATGTTAAATTCTATATTTCAACTCAGAATCTCCTCTCACCCTATCTTTTGTTACTCTTTTCTGCCACTCTCCATTATTTAACTACTATCTTACTGTTGTTGTTGGCCCTATCAGAAATCTATACTAATAATAGAGGAATATGCAAATTGTCTGGGACACCATCACAGTAACAGTAATGACCAGCAGGCTGCCTGGGGCAACAAGGCTGGCTGGGGGGTTAGTGAGGGATGACCAAACAACTGAACAGCAGCCTGCGTGGGGCAACCAGGCTGGCAGGGGGGGCAGTTAGGGGCAATCGGGTAGGCAGGCGAGCAGTTAGGAGCCAGTGGTCCCGGATTGTGAGAGGGATGTCCGACTGCTGGTTTAGGTCTGATCCCTGGGATCAGGCCTAAACCAGCAGTCGGACATCCCCTGAGGGGTCCCAGATTGGAAAGGGTGCAGGCAAGGCTGAGGGACCCCCCCCACTGCCCCATGCATGAAGTTCGTGCACGGGGCCTCTAGTATTATATAATCATCCACAAGGTCCCATAAAACAAAGCTCATTAGATAGACTTAGTGTGTTCTCTGGTAAGTTAGATATAAAACCTAAATCCAGGGTTTATACTAGTAAATGTAAATTTGTAACTAAAAAGAAATTTTATAAAGTGATAGATTTTACTCTTAAATTTGTTGGTTCAGTGGAAGGTTGCCTCAGGACTTTCTATGGAGCTTTCAAATGAAGCCAAATGGCCCATGGAAGACTAATCTTAAGAATCTGTTTTTATTTGCCAGATATATTTACGTTATATGGTACAGCTCACTCACAGATTTAAGGTATCCTATCTAATAATAGACAAACATGGTAATTAACCGTACCTCCGACATGCTTCCCATTGGCTAATCAGGGCGATATGCAAATTAATTGCCAACCAAGATGGCAGCCGGCAGCCAGGCAGCTGAAGCGAACAGGAGGCTTGCTTGCTCCAGTGATGGAGGAAGCCAAGGTTCCCCGCCTGCCGCTGCCGGCCTCTGAGCTGCACTCTAAGCAACTATGTTGCAATTATAGAAGCTAAACAAACCCCATGCTTTCAGCCAGCAGGCCGAGCTGGAGTTGCAACAGTGTTTCAATTATAGAATCCAAACAAAGCCCAGATACCTGCTTTCAGCAGCCGAGGCCTCAAGCTGGAGCCGAGCCTCAGAGCTAAAGCCGGCTCTCAGCTCCAGTGACAGCCATAGAAGGTAAATAAATCCCAGAATAAAAAAGAAAAAGAAAAAAAGGAGAGGTTGGGAGCTTCAGTCACTCGCCAGCCAGAAAACGGCCCTCAGCCCCTCACGCAGACTGGCCAGGCACCCCAGTGGGGACCCCCACCCTGAAGGGGGTGTGACCAGCTGCAAACAGCCATCATCCCCTCATCCAGGCTGGCCAGGCACCCAAGCGGGACCTCCACCCTGATCCGGGACACCCTTCAGGGCAAACCAACCGGCCCCCACCTGTGCACCAGGCCTCTATCCTATATAGTAAAAGGGTAATATGCAAACTGACCCTAACAGCAGAAAGACTGGGAATGACTGGTCACTATGACACACACTGACCACCAGGGGGCAGACGCTCAATGCAGGAGCTGCCATCTGGTGGTCAGGGCGCTCTCACATGGGAGGAGCTCTGTTTAGCCACAAGCCAGGCTGATGGCTGTCAGTACAGCGGTGGTGGTGGGAGCCTCTCCTGCCTTCTCAGCAGCACTAAGGATGTCCGACTGCAGTTTAGACCTGCTCCCCACTGGCAAGTGGACATCCCCCTAGGGCTGCTGGGCTGCCAGAGGGATGTCTGATTGCCATCTTAGGCCCAGTCCCCCGGGGAGCGGGCCTAAGCCAGCAGGTGGTCATCCCCTGAGGGGTCCCAGACTGTGAGAGGGCACAGGGCGGGCTGAGGGACCCCCCCCCCCCCCCCCCGAGTGCACAGAATTTTTGTTGCACCGGGGCATTAGTCTCTTATATAAATTTGCTTAGGGAAATTGAATTCCCTGAATGTACCC